AAAAAAACACATTTATTATTTATCAAAACATTTTGGTTTATAATTAACAATCTTCCTTTCTTTCATGTTTGCCCATTTTACAAATGCTTCTTGAAAGTTAAATGCACTTTCAGGGCCCTCAATATTAATCATTAACAAATTGTTTACATGGTTGATTAACAACCTGTTTCGAATATTAGTTTTAATCAAATTAAGGCAGCTAAAGCCCCTTTCACAGTCAACAGTGTGCATTGGTATTGTTGCACAATACTCTATAACAGAAGTTATTAATGGGTACTGTTCAGACACATCATTGGTATATAAAATCTTGTCTGATCAATCCTTCTTGTTTGATCAAGTTTTTTTTCATGGATGTTAGCGTCATGGTTTTTCGCGGAAGCTTTTTTTTAAATGGAATTTAGTAAAATCCTTTAGCAAAAATGCGAAAATGCTTTGTTGAATTTTAGCATTTTTGAGGAGTCTTTTCGCATTTTGCGAAAAAAGCTACCGTAGCGGAAACCCTGCTATAAATTGTACTTATCAAATGAAATTTTTTTTGAATAAATATAAATCTATAAATTGTATACAAATAAAACAACAGAATAGCATTGAAGATACAGGGTAGTTTCGTTACTTAAAATTGTTTTACTTTTGATTACAGCATTTAAATTTTTTGGTACTAATACCCCTTCCTAATATAAAATAAACTCGAAAGCAATAGAAAATATAAATTCAGGATAAATTTCCAATTTTTCAGACGAGTCGGAATCTTGAACCTTTGGAAAAAAAACTTAGATTTCTTTTTAACTGCAACTACATTGAAAAAATGTTACAGACTCTTCTTTTTAATCTAATTATCAATTCAACTGTTTTTATTATTTAATTCTTAATTGGCTCTTTTAAGTCACTTATTTATATTCTTTTAATAATTTATAAATTTATTTGATGTAGTTTGTGGTTGCAATGTTTTGGATTCTCTATGGAATAAACAGAGAACTCATCTTCCCCAAAGTTCTTGATCCTGTTTTCCCACCATGGCTGAATCATGTTTCTGTAAGTTTTTCTATTCATTGTATTTAACGCTAAAATAATGATAATTTAAAAAAAAAAATACTCTCTGGTAATAATGAGATAAGTCCCCATACTTTCTGAGAGAGCTCATCTCCTGATTGCCAGACAATACTTTATCATAAATTAAGCATTAAGAACATTTCAATTACTTAAAATTATTTATTTTTTAGATTTTCCATTTTTCTTTCTTTCTGTAAACACTTGAAAGTTAACAGTTTTATGCACCTACAATTTTAATTTAACATTGTTCTATTATAAGAATATTTTTGGAAATTTTTTTAACTACAATCTTTAAATGATCACTTACTGTTTTTTTTTTTGAACACACTGCCACCAGACATGCATAATATAAATGAACACCATTTGTGGAAGATTTGTCGCCTTCATGGAAAAATGTTCAGTATTACACATTATTAATAAAAAACAATCAAATATATATTACTCTCCAAACAACCAATGCATACATATATTACTTTTTTTTAAAAATATAGTATCACATATCTATTTTGATTATGGTATTTTTTTGCGATAACACATATTGAAACAATTCAGTTTTTATATTTTTTTTCTACTGTTATGTATTGTAAAATGAGTAGGAAAGCAAGATTATATAGGTGTAGAAAAATTGAAAAGCGATTCTTATAAAAATATTTATTAAATGTTTGCATTTAAAGGTTTCTGAGGTATATTTATGTATTCGAAGAAAGTCAACATGAGGAAAGGCAAAAGAAATCTATAAATTGTTTAATCTTCATGAACTCGCTAAATTTAAAGAAATATAGCCGATATGTATAATCAATATAGTTCTTGTTTTTTTAAATTAAAACTTTTAAAAGTTATTTTTCAACATATTTCGTCACAATTATGTTGCATTGAAAGCGTTGAAGCTAATTGTAAGAGTCAATAAATTGCTTTCAGAGGTTTATTAATTAAAATTTTGTGTTTGCAGAAAGTTTTTTGTTTTTTCTAAGTCTGACTGCTACAATCATGCCGTTAGGTCATGAAATCATGGAGCCTTAATCCTAATGATCTCATGGTCTACAGCAGATTGTAGCAGAGAATATTTTACTTTTTTATATAAATAATTTTATATACAATTAAAATGTCCACCATTTGTAAATCACTGGTTTATAGTTTAAGTAGATTTTTAAAATCAAACCAGTAGAAAGCATAGTATTTTACAAATATTAAAAACCATTCCTCAGTGACCTGTACATTTAAGTAGGTAATAATATTAACACTGGTAAACATAAGTTAGTTAATTCCTTTAATTTAATGTTTTTATGCATTTGTGACAATTGATATTCCAATTTTAATTTTTTTTAAAAATTTTAATTAAATTCAGTTATTAAAATCACAAGTCCTTGGAATGAAAAGGATTTTAGTAAGTAAACCAGATAACATTATTATTTACTTAATTTTAATTACAATGTAATGCTTCTCTATTTTCGTAATCCTCAAACAAAGGACAGTCTATTTTTACTTTGTTAATAATAGCTAAAATTTTCTTGTTCATAAAAAGTTAAAATTATTTTGTTAACTTTTATATACTGATCATTACAGCAAATTTATACTTTCTTTTAGATTTGTATTTAAACTTTTTAATAAATTGTTTAAATGTAAATAATTTATGCCTCTTGTTTATGTTCAAAAAAGTGCAAAAACCTTTTGTTTATACAATTTGATGTTCAAGAAGTGTTGATATTTAAATTTTTTAAAGCACACAGTGATTTTACCTGTTCTCCTTATCGAAACATACATAATAAAGCATCGTCATCCACGTAGAAGAGATGGAATGAAACTGACTGCTGCATTTGGTCTGTGCTATGGTATATGGTATGGACTTTTCATAGATAATTTTTGAAAAAATTTTGTAAGAAAAGTTTTGTTTACTCATGTGATCTAAATATATTTTTTATATTGTTATTATGCAAATACACAACTGCAATTTATAACTGAAATTTTTTTTCAGTTTCCTAGGTTGGTGGGAAATTCCATGTATTTAAAAATTAAATTTTTCCACTAATGTACCATGTTCAATTAACTGCCATGTCTAGTTTAAAAATTCATTTGCAAGTCTTCACTCTGACCAGGTGATAAGTAAATTTTGAATATTGGTTTTTTTCAGTGACTTTACCCCCAGATTATTAGTTAAGATTTTTTAACTAACATCATTTAAATACATTAAATTAGTTTTTTTCACTAGCTCAAAGTAACCTTGTTTGTTTTTATCACTGGCTGTAACTAACCTAGTTTGCGAGTTACGACATGCAGCTTCAAAATTGTTACTCTGACCAGGTGATAAGTAATTTTTTATATTGGTTTTTTCAGTGACGTTACCCCCCCCCCCNTTCCCCCCCCCCCGATTATTAGCTAAGAATTTTTAACTCACATCATTCAAATACATTAAATTAGTTTTTATCACTAGCTCAAAGTAACCTTGTTTGTTTTTATCACTGGCTGTAACTAAACTAGTTTACGAGTTATGACATGCAGCTTCAAAATTGTTACTCTGACCAGGTGATAAGTGATTTTTAATATTGGTTTTTTCAGTGGCATAGCCCCCAGATTATTAGTTAAGATTTTTTATCCAACATCATTCAAATACATAGTTTTTTTATTTTTTATCACTAGCTCAAAGTAACCTTGTTTGTTTTTATCACTGGCTGTAACTAACCTACTTTGCGAGTTACAACATGCAGCTTCAAAATAGTTTGAAAGGAAAAGACATCAGAGTAGGTTACCACTTTTGGCAAAGATTATCTTAAACTTCATTTCTGTATTCTGTGTTAAAACTATGTTAATCATCAAGCTTTATCTCTGTACTCTGTGTTAAAATAATTTTTAATTATCGAGCTTCATGTCCACATTCTACGTATAAAATCTTGTTAATTATCAAGCTTCATTCTGTACTCTGTATTAAAATCATGTTAATCATCAAACTTTGTTTCAGTACTACTTGTTAAAAGGTTGCTAACTATTGAGGTACATTTTGCTTAATATTTTTAACAGCTGAAAAAAGGCAAGCTACATAAAACTTTTGTAAGTTGTTTATTTACTGATTCAGCCCTTTAACTATCAAAACCTAACTTTATTTATAATTTGTTTTCAAAATTTTTTATTAGAAATAACTCCTCCAAAAAAAAATTAACATTTTATCCAAAATTTTACTTTTTTGTATTAATTAGCGACAAATACTCCTATTATAGTTTTTGAAGCTTCTTATTTAAAAATTATACTACTACTTCACATTATTTTGGGGCACTTGTGTAAAATCCCAGCAACTAGGAAAATTGGCACACACCAAACCGTTTCATATTGTAACCAGTGAATATTTAATCTGAATTTTAACAAAAAGTTAATTTCTTTTTAGAAAAAATTTTAAAATAATTTACAACGTGTAATTAAAAAAAAATATGGCACAGTTTATTTGTAAAAATAGCTAAGCATTAAAGTATTTTAAATTCATTATATTTTAACAAAATAAATAAAAAAAAATTATTTTAAGCAAAAAACTGTAAAGGAATAATTATGTACTTAGTTCTATAGTTTACCAATGTTGGTCAAAAATGATGTTTGTTGTAACTTTCTAACTATACGAAGAATCTAGGTCAGAGTAAAACCAGTTTGTTTTGCATTGCTAACAGATTCAAATAATGTCATTGATGATATTTATGCATTTTAGTTTTTAATTATTTTATTTCATTTTTCTTATGTAATCATCAGCATAATTATGCCAGGTGTTTTAAAGAAAAATCCTCCTTCGAAATAACTTCATATTTCTGCATCGTTTAATATGTTTTTGTTCTGCATTGTTTAATATGTTTTTGTAACTTATTATCTATTCCTTTATTTTTAGTTTAAACATTTGCAAACATTAATAGTTTTTATTTAATTCATTTAATTATTTTTTTAAAGAAAAGATAAGTCAAGTAAAACATTACAAAAAATACTAGTATATTTAAATATTTTTGTTCTATTTTATTCATGGGATTACTATTTTTTAAAATACAAATTCATATTTCAACCACACAATGTTTGAAAAATTTTACTGCTTTAGTTAAAAAAACATAAATATACAATTTAGTCATTTTATGGGATAAATCTTTCACTTGTTACTACCTGGAACACATTAAGAACTTAAAAGGTCTGTTTATTAGAAACTAAGATGCTTTTGGATTATTTCGCCTTAATAAAAAATTTAAACTTCTTATGCAAATATATTTGTTTCTAATGAGATGTAAGATATTTTTTTAAAATTAGATTCAATTCTTGTATAGTGTGCAGAATTTTTTTTTTTAACTCTAAATTACTTTTGGTCAAAAAATTGGATATGCCTTTGATTTATTGGCTTTCCTTTAGATACGCTGATTAATTATTAAATCAGATTCAAAGAAGTATTTTTTTCTGAATAAACATGCATTTCTTAGTGAGAATTCGTGACTTTTGAATACATTTGAAATCTGGAAAATGTGGTTCTAAATGTTTGCACTTTTCCCCTACATCTTTGAAACTAATGGACTTTAAAACTTATGTTATAGTTCCATTCAGATTGTTCTGCAGTTTGAGCTTGCAATGATCTGATCTAGTGATCAATCTTAATGGTTTAAATGGATGACCTTGAGTATGCTAATTATTTAGTGAAGATGATATTCTAAGTTACAAAAGCCAAATTTTAAAAAAGTTGTGTATTTAAAATTTGATTTCTGAGGAACTATTTGACTTATTTTGTACTTAACCTTATAAAATTACGTTCTTTAAAATGATTCTTAAAAATTCATATTACATTTTTATTCATCCATATAAAATTCATATTCAGTTTTTAGAATTTGTTTACCTTACTTAAGAGTTTAAATTTTTTTTGACCAATATTAAATAAAACAATAAAAAATAAGTAATCTCCAAGAATTATTTTTTGCATGGAATTTCCTTTAGATAAATGAATTTTATAGTAGTGTGCAAAAACTTTTTGATCCGTTTAAGAAATTCACCACAGACACAAAAAATAAAATTAACATTGAGGGGTCCAAACTTTTGACAGCTCTCCTGACCAAACTATAGGGACCAAATTTTCCAGTTTGTGGCTTTCTCCCATATTTTAAAAGTAAGGAATCCAAATCTGATTTTAAAAAAAGGTATGTTTATTCAGATTAGGTACGTTTTTGTTTCTGGTTCTAAAATAACATCTGCTCTAATTAATTAGTATATTTGAAATCACTCCTTTAAACCACAGGAAATGAGTGCTAGAACGTGATCACTGGATCAAAAGTTATTCAGGGTGTTCTTTTTTGCGCATTGTATACAATGCTGATGACTATGTTCAAGGATAGTAAAACTTGGTAACTTGTATCTTATTTTTATCTATTGTGATAAATAGTTGTCACTATCAAGTTTCTAACTCTTATAATTTAAGAGTTGTAAGGATAATTTTTGGTTAAGTCCATTTTACTGGATTTTAAGTAGATATGCGAGATACATTTACAGCCACCAATATAAAAATAGTTTAAAAACAACAAACGTAGGTCTATTTTAATTTAGTGGTTTCAGCTTTGATTACTCCCTTTTTATATGCAATATAAATTAACACTTTTTTATTATTATAGGACTCTAATCCTGGGATTAGGTATGGATATCTGGGTATATCCTGTTTTGCAAATAATGAATTGGACAGCAAGAATTGTATTCTTTGCGGTCAGCATTCTTTTTATGTTTCTGCAGTACCTTGTTGGAGAAAAGATCAATTGCTTGTTTTGGGGTAATTATAAACATTTGTACTTTGGAAATTATATATTAAAAAGTTTATGTGGTTTCATAAAATACAGCTTCTGTATTATGTAGATCAGTGTTTCCCAAACTTATGACTTTTGTGTACCCTTTCTAAATTTTTCGTAGCGCTGGGTACCACTAATAAAAAATATGAATGGATTTTTTACTATAAAAAAAATTGCACAAAAGTTAAAAATCACAACTGCCTGTTGACACCACTAATTATTAACTGTTAACTCTGCAAAAAATAGTCGATAGAGAAATACGTAATCGTAAATTTTCATGGCTAGCTTTGTTTTTAAATAAAAAAATTTGAAATTTTCGTTTGTTGCAAGATATTTCACATAAGAATGCGTACCCCGGATAAACTGTTCCCGTACCCCTGGGGGTACGCGTACCACACTTAGGGAAACACTGATGTAGATAACTGAAATGGGAATTTTTAGTTTTTTTTTAAGTTACTAAAAAGATATTATGCTTATATTATAAAAAAAAATATTTTTTGAGACATACCAATTTAAAATATCTGATAGTTAAAATTAAGATAAAACTCGATGACTTCTAACTCTGGCTCGATTGAACAGATATGAATGAACATTGTATGTAGATCATGCACCTAATGTTTCTGTTGAAAAGAAAAATGTTAACTGGTGGCACTGTAACAAAGTAAAATAACTATAGCAGTTTAAATATAAAAAATTAAAACAAAATAAAAAATAGATATTTCGATTACATACATGTTTGTGTGCTCTCCGAGCCGGATTATACCTTTCGTAGGCCCTAGGCACAGAGCCGGATTATACCTTTCGTAGGCCCTAGGCATAGCCGTTTTTGGGCCCTCCCCTCTTTTCAAAATATATGCTGAAATTTTCTTGCATATTTTTTTTTTAACACTTTTATTAATATGGATTTTAATTTACGAATTTGTTTATCGAACTTTATCTGCAATACCGACTAGTGTAATGCATAAAGTAAGAGAAAAAAGAAAGGTACTCCTAACTTTAAAGAGAAAAAAAAATGGTTGAAATATAACATTTAAAAGAATAAAAAATTTACAAGTTTAGACAAGAAAAACAAGTTTAAAAAATACAAAATTCTCATATTTATTTTTTAAAAATAATTACAATTCCTAAATTAAATAATATAAACAAAACCAATGATTAAATAACGCAATATATTTCATACCTAATTATACGGGGAGAAACGATAAAATAAAAGGAAAACTTATTAATCTAAATAAAAACACTTGAAAATTATCGAATCGAAACGATAGTTAAAAAAGGCACTAGCATAAATATTAAAACCCGGAACAAGGCAAGATCAACGGAATTTTTAAAAAAAAAAAAACCTAATGATAAAATTTATGAATAAAAAGAATTTATTGAGTGCGAAATTTATCGTGAAAAGAAAAAATCAAACGCAGTGGAATCAGAAAAACAAAACTGTTTTTCTGATTCCACTATGTTTGATTTTTTTTAAAATTTTTTTTCTCCCAAGTTTTTCGTAGGCCCTAGGCACGTGCCTAGTGTGTCTATAGGTTAATACGGCCCTGTGTGCTCTATATGAATATTTTGTTATATGTTGAAAGCTTAACACATCATGATAGATGCCGATTTTTACGTCCGCCAGGAAAAATTTTACAGTGTGGTAGTAAAATAATAATTAAAGTTGGAAAAATTTTCTAAACTGTAATTTACTGTGTTTACACTCTAAAGTATATCAGACTGTCTAATAGATCTTATTTAATTAAGTTTAAATTATTGATTTGTCATGGTGCATGAAACAAATGTTACCATTGAAAAACATTTTCTTCAACCACTAAACAGGTTGGTAATTGTGCTCCTCATTATTAACGTTTACATAAATATGTTTTTAAAACTTCAGTAACTTCCCATTTCATTTTCTGCAATAGTTTCCTTTTATTTTTGGATGCTTATAGTTTCCTGTAACAGGGCGCTTCCATGATAATTCAAGACATTTTAATTTGATTGCCTTTTTGAACTTAGTACAAATGCTGCTTATTATTAACTATAGTTAAAAAAAATTGACATGGTTAAGCTTGATTACATGTGCTTACAGAAATTGAATAATAAGTCTGACAGTTGCTTTGTTATCATCCTTTTATCATTGCTTGTAATGCCAGCAGCAATATTTCAAGCATTTCACTAAATAACATAGTTTTGGTTTGAAGGCCCTGACTTGTTATTTATTAACTGTACTTAATTGACTGACTGGTTATTAGGCCAGCAATAATTGATTGCCTCTAACTAACGTGACTGTATTTATTAATTGTACCTAATGTGTAATATATCTAACCTTTGTAAATTGTACCTAATATGTATATATCTAACCTTTGTAAATTGTACCTAATATGTATTTGTCTAACCTTAAAGTTTATCATAGTAAATTCTTTTTTTTTTAAATGCATTTATAAACTTTTTAAACATAAATAACTACCGCTTCAATAATTTTTTTTTATATTTCAGGTGAAGGTATAGTTCAGAAAAACAAATGAGCCGTTTTTTTTTAAATATCAAATCAATGATTATAGCTGTATCAGCTTTCAACGTTACCTCCATGAATCATCATTCCTATCGCCAGTAGTTGATTGAATATTATTTATTAAAAAACATATATCATAACCATTTTAATACGTTAATTAACAAATATTGTTTCTTTTAACCTCAGGATATAGTTTCTAAGTGCATATCTTTACTATAAAGCAATAGCAATGTATGTGTAGACTAACTGAGCAAGAGTTGTGATTTTTTTTTTATTGTTTATTAATATCTTTATTTGTAATTTTTATAAGAAAATGAAATAAAATTTGTTAATTTTTTTATAATTCACTTGTTATCTTGGCGTTTTTTTTCTCTGTGTGTTTTAAACAAATTAAATTTTTCTTACAAAAAGCTGAAAGTGAGAATTTAGAAAGTCTGAATATGTCTCCTTAGTTAATAATGAGATGGAAAAGCTTGATCAGAATACTGTAAACAATTTAAACTGTTAAGAAATTATGATGCATTTAAAACTCTTTATAATTGTTTTAATTCTTCATATTATAAGAAATAGTAGTAAAAAGAATCTAAACTGTTTAAAGTGCATTGCTTTAAATAACTGTTTTATTCATAATTATTGATAACAATAGCCTTAATATGTGGGTAAAATGATTTAAATTTTTTTAAAACATATGCAAATCTGTTTGTAATAATTTACTGCTTTGTATTTGTTAGCCTTACTATTAACTTTACTTAGGCCTAAACAAAACAAGATAAATTTATCTTGAAAATTATGTATTGTGTACTATTTATAATAAAATAAATTAACAATAAATATGTATGATAATTGAGCCAATTAAATATATTTAATTGGCTTAAAAACATCCAGTTCTATGACGTTTTAAATTTCCTAGTTCAAAGAAAATGAATTATATCAAGAAAACAAATTTTCTATATATATTTTTTTACATTTTGTGTTCACAAATTTAAAAAAAAAAAAAAAAACTATTTATTCTTAATAAAAACTAACTTGTAGCTAATTTCTCTATAAGTTAGTCAACTTACAGATAGACGGGTAATCTGTCGTGGTCACAAAGTCCTCCAACAGGGTGCGAAGCCAAATTATTCAACAAAAAATAAGCACTTAAAAAAATATTTTTAAGCACTTTAAAAAAATATAATTACGCATGGTTGGAAAGTTTTTGACAATTGACTGTTTTAACTGTCATGTCAAAGAATCTTTTGGCATTGTTTTTGACAATTGTCAAAAATCATGAAATTTCAAATAATGTAAAACAAATGGCGTTTTCATATGCTACGGACTGACAAAACGCTGAAATAAATAGGGGTTGAATTAATAGTGAAAACGTTGAATAGAATAATGTGAACTGTGTCTTTTTGCATAATTCGAAGTAAAAATCAACATAGTGAAGGAAAAATATTATTTTGAAAGAGGGAAAATTAAGCAGCTTTAAGGGCTTTAAAAAAAACGAAAATAAGCACCTTTAAGCACTTATTAAAAACGCTACGCACCCTGTCCAAGTTCCCGTAACAAATCAATACCTCTGGAGGATCTTGATCGGAGATTGATCGTGCTTCGGTTTCAGGCTAAAATTAATTGCGATATGATGGATGGTGTGTCCTTCCTGTGAAATTGGATGTGATGTATGTATGTTGTCTCTGGATCATCCTCAGAAATGTTATTCAGACTATCGCCCATTGTGCAGCACTAGTGCAACGTGAATAAAAGCACCAAAGTACTATTGGGATCTTATTTAAATCTAATAATTTTATTATCGAAGTCGAAGCTAAAATGATTTTCTTATTTGCTAAATAAATTATTTAAAATTTTATTTCCAATGAGCTGCACAATCAGTCTTGCCGATGAGCAGACCTACGTTCTCCAGAGGTGGTATCCACTCTTTCAGGATCACCATAATGGGTGAGATACCGTTGGTCATGTTAATTTGGACATCTAGTTTCTGCCACACTAGATGGCAGCACCGAGACTCTATTTGGATGCTAAAGTGCACTAGGAATTTAATTTTGCCTGAAATGCCAAGAGCCAATAAGGCACTCCAGGGATCTTTTACATGCCGCATAATCATACAACATGGCCGTGGCTGAGGATTTTCTGCATCCTGAAAATCCTGTGTCTGGGCTGGGAATCGAACCCGCAGACTTGGGTTCAAGTGTTTAAAAAAATCCCAGGATCCTATTTTTTTTAAAAACTGTTTGTTGTAAGGAAAGTTTCTTTAAATATTCTAGCTTTTTCAATCAAGATTTATACAGTTTAGATATTCTATTTTTTAAAAATATATTTTCTTCGACAAGTTTTTTTGACCTATAATGAGTACTAGAACTCTGTTCTGTGATTTTGGCAAGAAATGAAAATAATTTCAGCAGGAATGGAAATCATTCCACTTTCTGCAAAATATTTTAAATGATAAAGAAAACTGGTACTGGTAGAATTTTGCAAATACTTCAAAAGCCTAACCACGGGATAAGAACTAAGTAGTGTTTTATACAAACTTTTTAATCACTTATGCGTAACACTGGGAAGGTAACTTTTTACAATTACTTTTAGGTGATTTATACAATTTACTGAATCAAGAGTAATACATTTAAATTTAAATTTTGCTACCACTAGAAAAAATTGTGGCATTTCAGGCTAAGTGGAGAAAATTGGTTTCTCTGCTTCTGTCGTCTAAATTATTTTTACATTCATTGCCACAATTTTTTTCTTCTATTCAATGATCTAAACTTATTTAAAAACACAATAGAATATTGAATTATCTATGAAGGAAAATAATATTTTTATTATTTCACAATTTACAAATTTTTAAGTTATTATTACAAAATATATTTTCTGTTCAATATCAACATTTATACAGACATTTATTAGTTTTTTATACACTGGATAACTTTTTCAAGGTTCAACTGCAGGCTGTACAGTACACAAAGAAAAAAAAACAGACCAATTTGAATAGTTTTTGGTTTAATGATTGTATCTTTAAGTTCTGAATGATACGAGAGGATAGCCTAAAATATACTAAATAATTAGTGCAAACGTCTTAAATTACGAGACCAGACACAAAAACATTCTTCATACTTCCTTCTTTCTTAACTTAACGGAACTTGAACGGATTTGGATTTCTGCCCTCCCCCCAAATATAGAAGGTGGTCAGAGAAATATGGTCCCCATAGTTTGGTCAAGGAAGTGATCCAAAGTTTAGACCCCTTTATCTTAGTTTTACTTTTTGCGTATTTAGCCATATCTCGAAAACTTTTTAAGTGAATTGAATAATTTTTGCACACAATTATGAAATTCGCTTGGTTAAAGATAATTTTGTGCAAAAAATAAATTTTAGTAAATATTTATTGTTTTTTAAATTTTATTTAAGAATGGTAAAAAAAAATTTTTTCGAACAGTAAGGTACACAGTTTTTTTGCATCATTTTAATGAATAGTCGAAAAATTAAGTACAAAATTTGGTGAAATCAGTCGAATAGTTCCAGAGAAATCAAATTTTAAAAATGTCGTAAAATTAAAATTTAATTTCTCAGGAACTATTTAACCGATTTCGCTCTAACTTCGTATTTTTCCATGTAAAATTTCATACTTTTAAATGATGTAAAAAAAAATTATACCTTACAATTCATAATTGTTTTGACTATCATTAAATAAAATAATAAATATTTACAGAAATTTATTTTTTGCACAGAATTATCTTTAGACAAGCAAATTTTATTATTGGGTGCAAAAAATTTCCAATTTGCTCACAAAGTTCTCGAGAGATGGTGAAATATGCAAAACTATTAAGTTTTTTAGTCTAATTTCGTAGCTTAAAGTATTGTCTGCGCTAATAAATTAGCATAATCGAGATCACTCTCTCCAACCAATAAGATCGAATCCTAGAATAAAGATCTGATGATTAAATCAAAAGTTATTCAGGGCGGTCTTTTTTTTTTTGGTTCACTGTTCATTTAATGACAAATTGCATAACAATAGATTCAACTATGGAAAAAGTTAGTTCAAGAAAAATATTTTGGTTGATAAAAGTTCAAGAAAAATATTTTGGTTGATAAATAATTATACAAGAATCATATAAATATATATATTTAAATAAATGTTTATTTAAATTATTAATAATTTTCAGATATTCATTTATTAAATCTCTGATTAAGTAATATTCATTATTAAAAATATGTCTGAGTTCAATGACAAAATTTTATGTATGATATAAATAATACAGTATAAAATTTTGTTCTTCAATAAAAATTAAAAAATAAAAAGATATAAAAATGATTATCTCTATCGGAATATATATATACAGTTAATTGGCTATAACTTGATTTTCTTTATGAGATTCTGACCCTTTCATATTTAATTTCATGCTAAACATGCTTACTTTCACACGATTTAGTTAAGTTTTTTTTATTTTTAAGATGACTCAAATTACTATAGTGTTACTATAGTGTATTACTTAGTGTAACTTACAATGGGTCGAAAATTTTTACTGGTTCTCTTAAATTAGAGTTATTACAAACAGAAAAAAAACATACAAAATTAGTGATAAAAAATTAAATTAAAAAATACATATTACAAAAATATATTCTAAAATGTAAAAAAGTGCCCCAAAAAATGTTCTAAACATGTTATTTTAGTTAATCAATTTAAAATATTTATATCACAATGACTGGATAAACAGGTTAATTATAAAGGTTACACTATTTTTATTAAAGTTTAAAATAGCACCACTCATTAGAACAGACAATAAAATTCACAAAAGTTTTCCTTTACCATAAACAAAATCTCAGGAACCTGAAAAAAATTTTTCCAGTTATTAAATTCTTTGTAAATCTAGGATAATCCTTTGTATTTTTAAGATATTTTGTTCAACTAAAGGAAGATGTAAATATATATATATCTCAACAATTTATTTTGTATTTTCATATTTCAGAAGATTATTCTAAATGGTCAGAATAATCTTCTGAAATAAGCAAGCGCAGAATAGAGAAAAGAATTTTAAATTTGTTTGGCAAAAAAAGTCTAAGTGAAATGATTGGTTTTCTTTAAAATATCATAGTAGAACTTTAATTGAGTTGCCTTAATTATCTGAGGTAACAATCTAAATAACACTGTAAAAAATTTAAAACTCGTAAGAGGACAATCACGCTTTGCGTTACCAGCGTCCAGCCAAATGACAGATGTAACCAAAAGAAAAACTTGAAAAATACACTGGGAAACTTTGAAATGCCTTGTCTACACTACAGATGTTATCTTGTCACTTTTGCACACAGAAATCTAGAAACCGTTAAAACATTTGTAAATAATTGACTTCAAAAGCAAGTTACTTCCTTTTATAATGGTAGAAGAAGAATGACTTATTAGCAATAAAACTAAAATCTGATCAGAAGTCTTCTATTGCGCTGAAAGCTTAATATTGAGTAAACATATCCTAAACCGCTAATTTTTTAAAGAAAAATACAAAAATTTGGGTTCTGACTAAGAAAATAACTTCTTGCGAATTCTTTACAATCTTGAAATTTATAATTGATACAAGCAACCAGACATAGTAAAAGTTATCAAATCAAATTTAAAGTCTTTTGATCATATATTCAGATCAGAGGATTACAGCCCCACAAAGGTGTTAACCTACAACAAACCCTCCACTCAAATGGTTTGATGACGATGAGAAAGATTTGAAACATTACGGGTGACTAATTGGAAATGACTTGCATCTGGTTGACTCTGACGGAAAAAAACTTCTTGAGATGGTTGTAGAAGTATTAGCAAATTTTTTTCTCCAAAACCTTGCATTGTAAATGTACACATTGTAAAACCTTGCATTGCACACATTGTAAAACTTAGTAATTTTTTACTTAATCTGAAATCAGTTTTGAACTGCTGTTCACAAGACTAATTTCAGAACTTTTTTTTAAAATTCTGATACATTTTTTAAAAACTAAGCTACAAAGTGCAACATTTAATTTGTTAAGTTCCATAGCTGTAAGTGGTAACTGTAAGCATACAAATGGTAGCTGTAAGCATAGCTAATATTTGTTCTCAACTTGATACAAAGAACACACAGACTTTTTTAGAACTTGCATACACTACATATTATCAACTTTCAAAATGAAAACTAAGCATTTTTAGCTATTGTACCATAATTTGAAAAAAAAAAAAAATTATTCAAATAGATATAGATAATAAACAACTTCTTTAATAAGAGAGAATTTGTTCAGAATTTAGATACAATGCTTTTTTCTACTTAATTTTCTTGATTTCTTTCTTCATAATTTATTATAATGAAAAATATTTTATTGGAAACCCTCTTAGTTGGATCATATCTCTTTAATAAAATGCATCAACATTTTACCACAGTGTATAGTTTAAATTTACACACTTAATAAATTGAATTTAATGAAAAAATTATATGTTGTGATGATAAATGATTTAATTTAAAGAATAAATTATATTTGATATCCATAGTATTGGATATGTACTAGGTATATTAAAATGATATGCATCATAATTTACCTTACATACTTACAGAATTTTACAGAGAGGATTTGTTGTAAGGAGGATTGAGAAGACTTTTAATATCATCTGATATGCTGATATAATGATCTTCCATATATTGTTTACTGTTAATCTCTGTGTCTTCCAGATAATATCTAAAATTAAACAAATTTTAACAACAAAGAAATTGAAAAATGTAAATATGGATCACTCTTACAAAAACAGTTATTTTCATTTCACTTTAGGCTTTCGATTATCACTTATGCATATTTTTATGGGTGGAAAGTCTCTTAGAATGTATTTTTATAAAATAATATTACTAATTTTAATTTATTTTATGTAGTTAAAATATATTAATGCAATTCCCAACTTTCTAAGAAAATAACCAATTCATTAACAAATTTGTATGCTTCATTTCAAAATATTGAAATATAGAATTCAGAAAGTTAATTTTCGTGAGAAATATTACCACATAATTAATTTAAAGTTAATTCCTAGTGTGTAGCATCGTTACCTCAAAACAATTTATGAACATAATTAAATTACAAAATTAATAAAAAATTCAATGATTTACAACTACATTGCAATATGTTTTCAACTACAACTTATTAATGCTGATAGAAAACTTCATATACTTCAAAAATATAAAAAATTGAAATGATATACAACATGTCATTAAAGCTTTGCTTGTGGAATCCATTTGATTATATCAAACTGGGTAACATCGTTGTTAATTACCATTCTCTAAATGGCTTTTTTAAAAGTAAAATAAAATGAAATAGTAACCTAAAAAGTGAATCATTATAAGTTATTTTCTCGTATAAATATATCTGTAAATAATTGGTTTAAAAAATCAATTAAGCCTAATTACTATTTTTAAATTTTGTTGAATTTTTTATTCACTCACTAATGGATACAATGAGGAAATGATGCTAAAGTGAGACTTGAAGTATTGTCTAAAATTCAAAAGTATATTTTTTAATTTTTTTTTGGTATTAATATAATTAGAAATTAAAGTAAGATTGAAAATTACAATTCCTTTTATTTATTTATTATTATTATTCTTTTGAACTTCAATATAAAATGACTGTTTTCATGAGAATGATCCATAGATAAATAAATCATAATTATTTTTTAAATTTAGATTTTATATGCATTATGGTTTCGAATAAAAAATTAAACTAAAAAGAAATAGTTAAGTCAAAAACATTAAAAAGAAATATACACACACACACACACACACACATATATATATATATATATATATATATATA